CAATCAGACCCTGGTTTCCTGAGTCCAAGCCTCTCCCTGGCACCTTCTTCTCAATAAAGTACCTGGCCTTGCCAAGAGTGTGCACATCAGAGTGCTTCTGCACTGGACCCCATGGCTGCCCCTCCCAAGAGCGGGCTCCCCGGATGGAGCTGGCAGGATTTGAGGTCCAAAGGGCTCAGTTCCTCTGCGGCAATGCCTGCTGGGATAACTACTCAGGATACTGCTGTGTGTGTGCTCCATGGCCCTTACTTCATGGCTGGCTGGAGCCTCCCAACCCCCCACCCTGGCCTGACATCATGCCAACCCTAGCAAGACCGGCCAACAATCTGTGACTCATCTGTGCCCATCAGATGCCCCCTGCAGCGCCTTCCCAGCCTTTGCTGTGCCCTGGGCTGGGCTGCCTCATTCATAAAAAGTGTTCTGCCCCTAACAGGACACCCTCCCAGGTGCAGACGTACTTCAGTGGAACAGTGGTGGGGGAGTCAGCCATGAAAAAAGAGGCTGATGTTGGGAGCCCTGTCAGGTTTGATTTCAAGGTAAGGATGCTGCTCCTGGTCTGGGGCTGGGGCTGCGGGGAGAAGTCAGGGCCTGAGTCCAACCCAGGCTGTGTTTTGCAGGTGAACACCAAGGGGGAGGCGCTGGGCTCCCTGGGCACCATTATCTTGGGCTTCAACTGGCCCTATGAAATCCCCAATGGCAAGTGGCTGCTGTACCCCACCGAGATTCTTGTCAGAGGCAATGAGAGCAGACGCTGCCAGCCACCGGGGGATGTCATCAACCCCCTCAACCTCACCGTGAGTCTTGCACTGTGGCCTGGTAACCTGGTCCCCTCCTGCTGTCTTGTTCCCCTCTTTTCTTTCCCTCTTCTCACTCCTTCTTCTTGTCCTTTGCTCCCTTTTTCCTCCCCCCGCCCTTTCTTTTTTCTCTCCCTGAGCCGCGTTCAGCAGCCCACAATGGCACATGGCAGCCTGCAGGAGGCAGCACTAACCCGCAAGCAGGGTGGGCAGACTATGGTCCCACTTCAGTTGCCTCATGACAAGAGCCATGGTTTTGCCCCGCAAGGTGGTCAGCCGGTCACTGCTGGTCTTCACTGCCCTGGGGAGCTGGGGGCAGGCGCTGTGCGTCTGACGGGGCCCTCACTAGCTTGGTTCCTCTGCAGCTTCTGGACAACGTCTCCTCACCCCGGCAGAGACGTGAGCTGGAGACAGCGCCGCACACCGAGCTCCCCATCACCCTGGCTGCTGCCAAGAAAGCCAGGTCACAAGTGGAACTGGTGAGTGTCCCCCACTCCCTGCCCCACAGCAGGCTGAGCCCTTCCTGACCATGGAGAGAGTGTACCCCTGGTACTGACCCTGGCCCACGGTTCCAGAGAGAGGGACAGAAACATCCTGTCCCAGAAGTTGGGACTTGTGTGGTGGAGTTGAAGGGGAAATCTGCTGGAGCCTGTAAAGGGTCCATGACACAATTGCACAGTTGTGGCTGAGCCCATGAGCTGGCAGCAGTCTCTGTCTTCCATGTACAGAGAGCTCCTACCCCTGCCCAGGACTGTAAGTGACTGGAGTTTGGAGCCCACTGCTGGGGCATAACAGCAGTGTGAGTGGATCATGACAGGGGTCCTTGCCTGTCCACACCCCATTGGTCCTTGGGCCAGACCAAACCCACCTAGCTGGGTCCCAAGCCCAGACTGTCTCATACCACTGGGCTGTAGGCCCACCCAACCCCAGACTGCTTTGTCTTGCCTGAGCTGCCCCGCTAACATGGCAGTCTCTGTTCCTTCCTGCAGAACTGTGCCACGGGCACATCCCACTGCATCTGGATCGAGTGCCCCCTCCATGATACCAGGGCATTGACAACTGTCAGCATTCGAGCACGTGTGTGGAACAGCACCTTCATCGAGGTCCGTGCCCAGTCCCTGCTCCCCTCCTCACAGAGACCCAGCTGGATGTTGGGATCCTGCCAGGGCAGATCAGGCTCACCCCTCAGTTACCCCCAAAGCACCTAGAGGAAACTGACTCCACAGGGGGCAGCTTATGTGGAACTCCCTGCCCCAAGACACCCGGGGCGAGGGGGAGAGTCTGGGGCTCCATTAGGCCTGACTGCCCAGGTACCCAGCTGAAGTTTGGAGGGGAGGGAGTGGCCAAAAGCCACAAGAGAAGGCACAAGGCTGGGGGGAGAGTCTTCTCTCTCTCACAGGCAGCCATCCAGGTGATCCCCTTCAAGTCTTGACCTCAGTGTGTCTTGGCTTCTCTGCCCCAGTCTTCAGGTCAAAGGGTCTCTCTGTACCATGTATGCAATGAGTTTGGCAGGTCTTGGCCTAGTCCCTCATGGCAGTGTCCATCTCTCACTCCAATGGCTGGCACTATTGCCCCCGTTCCCAGCAGCCTTAGCAGAGGGAGTAAGAGTCAGTGATGCACAGAGGCTGCACCCCCTGCCCATGCCCAGGGATTGGGTAGGCAGGGAGTGCAGAGGAAGCTCTCCCTGCCCCTGCCAGACCTGCTTGGAGTTGAACACATCTGGTCTGTGGGTTTAGAGTGGGTGGGGGAAGGGTGTGGGCTACTTCTGGCCCAGCCTGGACAGTACCCTCCCCCACCTCACCCCATCCCTGTGTCTGTCTGGGTGAACAGGAGTACAGCAGCTATGACCGCATCAAGGTGGAGGGGCAAGCCACCCTGTTTCTCCGGACCAACGTGGCTACCATCAACATGAAGAACCACACAGTGCAAGTGAGTCAGCTCTGTTGAGCCCGTTAACATGCATGTATGTGCCCTTTTAAATCCAGTGTCCCATGCTGGGAGAGGCTGGGATTGTCCCCAGCCAGTGCCTCTGCAATGCCCCTTACAGGGAATGGCTGGGGTATCTGGGAGTGCCCCACAGCCACTGCAGTGTCCCCTGCTGCCTGCAGTAGGCAGGAGCTCCCCCAGCAGCCAGCGCTTATACCATACAGTGCCCCCCAGTTTGCACTGGAGCTGCTGGATACCCCAGTGCCAGTCAGGCACTCAGATGCAGGCTGCCCCGCAGTAGCTGTAGTTACGGCTTCACAGCTGCCCCCATCTGAGCACGTGGCTTGGCTTCCAGTTCTTTGTGGACATCGATTCAGAGCTGACAGAGGAGCAGCCGGCGGAGATTGCGCTGTGGTTGGTGCTCTTTGCTGTGGGAGCTGGGCTGTTGCTGCTGGGGCTGATCGTCCTCCTGCTCTGGAAGGTGAGAGAAGGGACAGTGACTCCATTCAGGGGAGGAGGGAGCCCTATCCTGTGTCCAGGTGGATACAGGAATGGCCAGGAGTGAGTGGCACCTCCCTGGGATCTGGGCTGAGGCTTGGCATACTCACAACACCAATGGATGTGTGCTCCTAGGCAGCTGGTGACCCGGTGTTGTATATTGCCATCCCTGCTTTCAGCATGGCCATAGCCCTTACTTCTGAGGCTCCCAACCTGAATATCCTAGGCTGGGAACCCTGCAGCCTTCTATCCCATTGCCAATGGCACTTACCACTATGACACAGCCACCTCTGGGGTGGAACATGGGACTCAGTTATGCTGTTGGATTGTACCTAGAGAAGCAGCTAGAGTTGGTTAGGGAGATTGAATGTAATCACCCATGCTGGGGTGGGGTTAGTGCCCTGTTTCAGGCACAAACATCATGGGAGCTCAGTCGGGTCCTCTGTGTCATGCCTGACAACATTTCAGTGCTTCTCGTCTCCAGGCCAATGTATAGGGCTCCAGCATGAGCAGTGACCCCCTACTACATAACCAGCACTTCCTAGCTATCTCGCATCCAGGACCCCCCTGGCATACCCTGCTTAGCTTGGCAGAGCTGACTGACGTGCTGTGACGGAGATGAGCTACAAGGCTGCTTCTCAATGGCAGGGGTGGAGGAGAGGATCTTCAGGGAAATTGCCTGACCCTGTGGTGTCTCAGCAGTTTGCCTCTGAGTGTTTAGAGCCAGGAACATGGGCTGTTCCTGGGATCTCCTGAGCTGTGTCACCCCTGCCCCTGCCCAACAGGAATCCTAAGTCTGTTATGCAATGGGAGGTGTCTCTGCAGACAGCCTCTCACAGGCCCTGGCACTGTGCTGTGGCAGCTCCCACAGCCTCACTGAGCACTTTGCAGGCACAGTGGTAGCAGCCCCCTGCTCTGGGCAGCAGGGAGCAACAAGATCCAGCCTGCCTGGGAACTCCCAGTGTAAGCGGGGTTCCTGGGGCACTGGATTAGTACAGTGCCACTCTATGGTCCTCCTTCCCTCCCTCACTGAAGCATGCCAAGCACATGCCCCAGAGTGGGGAGAGCAGGCCAGGCTGCTCCCCGTCCCCACCCCGGCAGATGGGTGTAACTTGGAGCAGTCCCTGGGCTGCTCTGCCATAAGTCCAACAGAAACCTGGGAGTTCCTCCTTGCCACCACTCAGCCTACAGGGCTGCTCCAGCCTCAGTTCAACTGCAGTCCAGGCTGAAGGGCAGGGCCTTGCACACCTCCTGTCCTTGCAAGCTTTGCCTGTGGGGCTGCAGGGTGCAGAGAAGCATCTGCAATTGGTATGTCACCAATAATGGCAGTGATGAGGTAGGACCTACCTCCTGTGACCTCCAAGTTGCATCAGCTCTGCATGGAGCTGCATTGGGCTGAGGGCACCTCTGATCCAGGGGAGCCACTTCAGAGCCACTTCAGCATGCTCCCCCTTCCCCCACCACACCATCAGTGCCCTGAAGAGAGTCCAGTCTGCAGTGGGTCAGTGTGAAGTTCAAGTGATCCAGAAGGTCATACAGTGTATCCATTGCACAGAATTATGTCACTGCTTCCCTGAGACCCAGTGCAGGCAGAGATCCACCCTTCACCTTCCCACAAGATGCGGCCACTTCTGGGCTGGAGCATTCCTTCCTGATGGCCACCCCACCACCCCTGATCAGTGTTGCCTGCTTCCTTGTAGTGTGGCTTCTTCCGGAGGGCAAACACACGAGCCATGTATGAGGCCAAGGCCCAGAAGGCGGAGATGAAGATCCAGCCGTCTGAAACGGAGCGGCTGACTGACGACTACTAGATCAGGGCCCCTTTGCTCTGAGAGCCTGCTCCAGCCTCTCGGTAATGACCCAGGGGCGGGGCAAGGCACAAGGGGGTGGGGCCTCTCATACCTAGCTTTGCACCCTGTCCCTGTGATGCCTTCCCCTGTTACCCTCTGCTCTGCCTGGATGGCAGCTCTCTTCTCTCTCTCTCTCTCTCCTCTCCAAGGGGCCTTCTGAACCTCCATGTGTGTAGTCCAGTCGCATCCTCTCCTTCCCAGGGGTCGATGCTTTTGACTGCATCCTTCAGCTGGTGTGTTCTGATCCCTTCTCCCCCTCCACTCTTCTCTGAGTCCTGTTCAGGCTCCAGGGAGAAGCAGGTTGTAGCTATGTGTGTGTGTGCGCATGCTTGTGTGTGTATGTCCATTTCACTCGATGAGATCCCACCCATGTCTGTAATTTGTCTCGCTTGCAGGAAGCAGACACACAACAGCATTACATTGGTATAATCTGCCTTCATGCCAATGTAAATGTGGAGCAGACACAAGGTACAGTTCTGCATTGGTTGGTGTCTGTTGCTCCACTGTGGAGTAAAGTAACCCCCCAAAGTCATGAGTAACTACGCAGCCCTATAAGTTACATGAGTTTACAAGACAGTAGTCATGTTTACACAAGACGTTGACTGCACAGTTGTTACTGTGCAGTCATTTTGTATTTGCATAACCACATACTAAGTGACTATGCAGTAACCAGTGTTACTGTGCAGTTGTGTCCCGGCACGGTTGCCTAGTGACGTTTACTGCTCAGTATCTCTTTACTGCTGCACAGTAGCTTGTTACCACTGCGTAGTAGCGTCACATGGTTCATGCCCAGCGACACTACTGCGCAGTAGTAACAAGCTACTGTGCAGCAGTAAAGAGCTACTGCACAGTAAGCATCTCTTGTAAACATGGCCTGTGTGTCTGCAACTCTGCTCTGTTTTCCAGGGTAGCTCTTGAACAGTGCAAGCAGGGTATTACTAGCTTTCTCACAACCTAGTAGTAAGGCAGTGTAATAGGGCCTGCTGTAGACCTCCGCTTCCAGAGGCCCAGTCCTCAGAGCACTGGGTTAGCTTGCTCCGGGATACAGAGTGATGCAAGTTACACCAGTGTAAATGCTGCATGTCTGCATGCTCAGAACCTGCAATGAGAATGCCCAGCCCTGTGTGTTCTGCAGCCCCCAGGTTGGGAGATGACAGTAGTGGGGTAGGTGTGTAACAAACTCAGGCCTCTGAGGGCTTTTGCTGGTCACCAGTTGGAGCTAAGAAGGAAGTCTTTCCCTTTCATGGATGCTACTGGCTTCTGTGGCTAGGGCGTTGCCTTCCTCTGAGGCACTGTGGCTAGGACATTAGCCTCAGCCAAGACTGGAGTTTCTGCTTGAGATGCACAGATGTTCCTGCTGGTTCTTAAAAAAAACCCAGAGGGACTGGCTGGAGTGTCTTTCTCTTCCACTTCAGGGTCAAACCCACAGCCACATTTGGGGTCAGGAAGGGGTGTTTCTCCCAGGTCAGACTGGCACAGACTGGGCGTTCTGCCTTTCTCTGTAGCATGGGGCCATCCTCTGAGCAGATGTTAACTAACTCCTTCCCTGTCCCTGCTGTTACCTGGGGCTGGTTGTAAGGTGTCCTTGGTGCTTCAGGTGCTGTTCTGGTGACTGGGGGAGAGTTTGACATGGTGCTTTGGAGGAGTCCATGGGTGGATGATCACACGCCAATGCAGGGTACTGCCCTCTATGGCCCAGGAAACCCCTTCCCATGCTGTGCTCCTACCTCAGGGCACCAATAGTCCCTGCTCATGCAGATACATGGGGAGAATGCAGTGCCCAACCAGGGGTGTATAGAAGGGAGAGGGAGCTGCCCATGAGGGGCAGTCATTGGCATTGCCTGTCCAGTTTCTCCACTTGCCCACCTGCACTGGAGACGCTGAGGGACATCACTGCCCTTGTGCCCCACATACCCCACTGCTGACCCACTCAAAACAGCTGCTCCAGTGGGTAGAGCCGGGGAGTCCTGAGAGAGGACAAGGGCAATGGCTGAGGAGGCTGCCATGCCATGATGGGGAGCTGAAGCCTAGAATGAATGGGTGTGGAGACCTGGCAGCCTCACGGTCAGCAGTTCAGAGTCATTCGCAACTGAGTCCCTGCCAGTGCCCTCCTGCCAGGTGGTGTCTGTCTGTTTGTACAGCGGTCTGATTCACACCAATGTTTGTCTTCTCCTCTAGCTTCACTGACCACCCATTTCTCAGCACAGCGTCTGGAGTCTTGTCTCCTGCTGGGGGAGTTCTCTCCTTTGCCCTTAGGCTTTGTTACTGTTCTTTCTGTTCCTCTCGTCACACTTTTTTCCTTTCTCTTCTTGACTGTTTCTCCTTCTTCTTTCTGCTTCCATTTCTCTTTCTGATTGCCCTGCTTTTGCTCTCTGATTTCTCTTCATTTTACTTTTTTTGATTGTTCTGATCTCTCCCTCTAATGATACTGATTCCTGTCTCTCTGATTTCCCTTTCTGCTTGTTCTGGTCTCACTTTATGATTTCTCTGATCTCTCTCTCACCCTCTGTCTCTCTGTCGGCCTCTGTCTGGTTTCATGGTGCTGATCTCTTGATTGCTCCCTGGCCACCGCAGTTTGGTGCTAACCTATCTCTTCCCTTCGAGCAGTGCAACTTCTTCAAGCGGACCCGCTACTACCGGCTCATGCCCAAGTACCATGCAGTGCGGATCCGCCAGGAGGAGCGCTACCGGCCTGCTGACAGTTTCCTGCCACGGAAGAACAAGAAACACTGGGTAACAAACTGGCAGGAGTCAGAGAAATACTACTGAACCCTCCCCCCACGGACCTTGGCCCCCATCTGCTCAGCCAGTCGTTGTGAGCACGTTGCTACTGCATTCAAATAGCCCTAGGGCCATCACCACACCGGTGAGGGGCCTGCTATTCACTCCAGGAGATGGCAGCCCTAAAGCTTCCTGGAGGAGTATGTGAACGAGCCACCTAGAATCATCCTGGGGACCAGAAGTCTGACACGAGGCCTGGCTAGGGGAACATGAGGGACTTGTTGTTTTGCACAAATGCCTTCTCGCCCTCACACTTACACACTCCTCCACAGACGAGGACACTGCTCTCTGTCCCATGTCACCGACTCTCAAAGTGCACTCATGCCGAGAGGGTGTGCCATCAACACCCCCACCCCACCTGTGCCTGTGTGCGCCTCTCCATTGCATATGTGTGCCCTGATGCTTTTGTACAGACAGCACTTCTTCCCTTGCTGTTGCACACATGCACAGATGATCCTTTGAACCATTAAGCCCCATGGCACAATCCTAGCCTGCTGCTAATGATCCGTAAGAAATGTTGGGGCTGAGTGGAGATGGTGAGCAGCCGATGCACTATGTGACACAGCCCAGCACTGTCATGAAGTCACACTCAATAATGCCCCAGGGCACTCCCCCTCCCTGTCTCACTCTTTTTTGCACCTAGATGCCCGTGTGGACTGTCACATGTGGCTTCTCTTGCACTGTTTCACTGATGTGAACACAGAGGTGCTCTCACCTGCACAGATGCTTACGTGCATACACACATACACTCTCATTCTCCCTTCCCCACAATGCCGTTTCTCTTGCTGCTTCCCCCAGGCATTGGTGATGTGTAGGAGGTGCATGTGCACCCCCTGTGAAAAGGCACAGCTGACACTGCTGGCAGGACCTGTGGGCGGTAGCTGCTTGCTGCTGCGCCGTGCCCCCCCCCGCCCTCCCCAGCACTGCTGCCACTGCCATGCTCCTGCTGCTGACAGTGCTGCTGCTGCCTGTGGGAGCTTGCCATGCCCCCCCCAGCCCCTGGGGGCAAGTGGCATTCATGCCTTCAGGAACATGCCAACATTCCCATTCAATCCTGGGACAAATTTCTTCCCTATTAACCACTATAATATCTCCCTGTAGCTCAACCGAAGGCAGTGGACCGCTCTGATTTTCAAGATCTCCTTGCTAAGCCTCCTGTTTCTTTGGGGGTACCTCTGTGGTGGGGGTGGGGGGAGCTGAGGCAATGCCCCCAGCTCCTTCATGGCTGTTCTCACTCAGTGCTGTACACTGGATGTTTTGCCGCTGGAGCACCGCATGGCAGAACTCCCAGTGCCATTCTCTGAGACAGCCCCAGCCCCTTCCCTGGGGAGCAGCTGTTTTTTGGGGGCAGGTTGGCTATTCCTCTGGTTCTCCTCTCTGGCTTCTGCCTTAAATGGCAGGGCCTTCCCTATTGTCACATGTCTGGTCTGAGTCCTGTTGCCTGCATTCATGCCCAGAAAGTGCTAAGGGCAAAGCATTATGGGTACATCACAGTGGTTCTTCGCAGGGGCAGAGTCAAGCCAGTTCAGCCCAGCATGCCAACTCTTAGGAAAACCTCCTTCAGCTTTGCAAGGCCAGGCAGGCTTCATCAGAAAGGACCCGGTAGAAACAAACCAAGAGTGATATCCGTGAAGCCGAAGCTTGGCATCACAGGGCTGGGAGGTGAAATCCCATGTGGGCTGCCCTGGGCACGGCACTCCATGCCCTCCATCACCTGTGCCCAGTTTGTGGGTCCCAGCCTCTGCTTTTCCATGCTCCCTGGAGCACCCTACAGCCAGCACAGAGCCTGGTTGCACAGGCCTGGTATATGTGACTCAGTGTGGCATGAAGCCAGGAGCAGCTCCTGCCATGTTCTCACTCTTCATCTGGGTGACCCTTCTCCAGGTCCTGCTCCCATGTCTCTTTTCTGCTTGCTTTAGGCACTCCTTCCTCAGCCCAACCCTGCAGCTGGGCTCTGCAACCCTGGCCTGCAGGAAGGCTCAGCGCTCATTCTCATGCTCTGATAAGGGGGGACTGTGGGAATGCCTAGTGCCCCTGGCTGACAATAGACAGCCCAGCAGGGGTGGTGGGCACCCTGGCTGCACTCGCACACTCTACACTCCCAATGCTCCTGTTCATGCCCTCTGCTGGGGGGTTAAATTATTAAGAGTGTATCTATTTTTTTTTTTTGCTGTCAATCACTGGAGTTTGTTTCTCTTTATGGTACTGGAGGTCCTGCGTCACAGCACCGTGTTGTAAATATGCTTGAGTGGTTATGATAGTGTCCAATAAAAATGGTTCCTTCGTTTGTAACTGGCAGTTGCCTTGGGTTGGGCTCCATCTCCCCTCCCAGCCCCAGGAAGCAAAGCACCAGGCCTGGATAGCAGTGCAATGCAACGGCTATACGTAGCGTGGCCACTAGTGGGGGCTCAGGTACTGACAGGCTTTTCCCCTGGTGACCCTGTTGCAGAGAGGTAGTTAGCAGGGTTAGTCGGAAGTCAGGAGCTAATGAAGCAAGTCCTCTGCTTGCAAGAGCTTCTGCAGCACACCTCTGCTTCGGCCAGTCTGCAAAGGTGTCCGACTTCTGGCTGTTTATCTTGCCAGCCCAAGTCCAGCCTGGTGCTGTATCCTCTGCCAGTTGCAATCCCGAGGGGCGCTCTGCTGTGCCAGCATAAACCCAGGGCTGGGCGGTTGCTTTCACAGGTGCAGATCACCTTGCTCCTTACCTGTGGGCTTTTGCCTCCATCCCGTACAGGATCGTAGGAAATGAGGGCTGGAAGGGACCTTAGGAGCTCACCTAGTCCAGCCCCCCACTCTGGGCAGCATCAACCCTGCCAACCACCCCAGCCAGGCGTGCTTGTCCGCCCCCTGCTCTTGAACACTTCCAAGGATGGAGATGTCTGTTTCTCTGACTCGCCTGGTCCAGTGTTTGACCACCCTGTGGCTTGCAGCACCCCTGGCCGGGCTAGCGAGCTGCTATGCAAAGACCATTTGCCCCCCCCTCATCTCCTCCTTAGGCAGACCCTGTCTGTGCCCTGCAGGCTTTGGCCTGGCCCCTGCCACCTGGGCCAGGGCCCAGCAGGCGATGCTATGCGCCCAGCCCGTGCCGATCTGCTTGGGCCTTTGCCCTTGACGGGAAGGACAGACGAGGCTGCAACCTGAGCCCCTGCCCGTCTTGGGCCTTGCCCCTTTCATCTGCTGGGGGTGCCCCGATAGGGGAGCAGGTCCACGTCCGGGCTCTGGAGAGGCGGGTGATGCAGGTGGCAAAGCCGGGAGCCCAGGCCCCTGCGCCGGCCCGCTGCCTTTGGGGTCCCCAAATGACTGGGCCCCAACGGGCAGCTGCAGCTTGCGGGGGTGAACGGGCTGCAACGGAGCCAGTGGGGCGGGGGGGGGGGGGGGGGGGGGGGGAAGAGACAGAGACTGTAGAGAGCCGGGAGAAGGGGCAGAGATTATAGGGAGTAGGGGAGGGACAGAGGCTGTGAGGAGCTGTGGGTGAGGGGGTGCCAGTGGCAGGTGGGGGGAGCAAAAAGCAAGGGGACTATGTGATTCCCCCCCTCCTGCTACCTGA